GCTGACTCACTACACACATTGCAGCAGGTGTGCTCTCCGATGTTTCCCTCTCTCTCCCACACACATTAATGGTTACCTGAGCTGTAGTGAAAGGCCAAGTGTGTTTTTACAGCTGTCTACGTAATGAGCTCTTTGGGGGCCTGTCAAGTCAACGGTTAGCTAACGTCTCAAATTGTATGTGTGTTTGTGTATGTAAGTGTGTGTGTGTGCATGTGTGTTGGTCGAGGTTAGGTAATGTCTCTCTGCGTACCACCTGACAGATTCAATGTCATCATGACTGAAATTACACAACCTGACGTGGGAATCAATGTGACAGACAGCTGAGGGAAAGCATGAAATATAAATGTTATTCAATTACTCAGAGTGTGTAACTTTTCTGCATGGAGATCCGTACATTTTAAACATACATGAAAGAGATGCAGAGATAAGATGGAAAAGGAACTGATCTGTATTGCAAAGTTGTTATATTAATAAGTGGTGTTAACACTTCAGGGGTTGGGGGTACAATTGCCACTGCTGTCGATCTTAATAAAAATGTAAGTAGTTATTGACATAAGAATTAACTTGAGTAAGGAGTTCATTTTGAGAGGTTTTAAAAGGGAAAAAAAGCATGTGAAGAGTCACTGACGTTTGCTTTCTGTTAATCAGATGACTCAGTAAATAATAAGTTCATAAAACATTGCAGCAACACGTGTCACAAATGTTATTGTTTTCAAAGGTGTTATCTTCAGCAAAACACTGTCTGATTGGTGAACTCTGAAGTGAGTTAGCAAACTTGCCAAATTACTTAAAGGGGACCTATCATGCAAAATGCACTTTTGTACGTCTTTTATACATGAATATGTGTCCCCGGTGTTCCAGGGAACTCACCAAGTGTCAGAAAACACAACCCTCTCTATTTTCCTCCATACCCAAATCTCTAAAAAAGGGGCTGCAACGGATCTGATAAAAACTGATCCAGATTTGAACACTGTCCTGACGTCAGGACAGTGGCGCTACGGCTATTGGGCCAACTCCACCAATCAGGAGGAGACAGCCATGGCCATTGCCGTTCGAAAGCGCTGGAGACGCTGTAGTACATATGCCAGGCCTGTAGGTGGTGCTGTTCTCACAGAATCTGCCCTTGCAGAGCAGAGCTAAAAAAAAGGTGCAAATTGAGCGAAATGAGGCATGGCTAAAATGCATGATCTGTTTGGTATTTTGAAAACAGAAACGTATAAATATACCTTATATAGGTATGGCCCTACAATATATCATTTAAATATACCACTTTAACTAGCTAAGGGGCATTGACAAAGCAAAGGTATGTAACTAATGATAGCTTTTTACTCATCAAGAGTGATGCAAGGCAATAGCATGGATATAAAATAACTCCATACAGTGTTGGAGGTGGGCTACTGTTCATTATTATGAAAGCTGGTCAATTGCTTGACTGCCGAGTGATACATTTACCTGTTACTTCAGTTGTTCCTCAGTGTCTTTTCACCTGAAAGGAGGAACAAAAGTGACAATGGTTTGGACCTTTAGCATTTTTTTGCAACTTTAACATCTTAGCTATCTCCAAGCAAATTAGGTTTCCCTAATGGGAAGTTGATTTACCAAAAAAAAAGATCCACTGATTGACTGTAGGGTCTCTTTGCCAATGTAAGTCTATTTTTTTTTGGTCCAATAACATCACAGCACAGCATGGACGTTTTTATTACATGGTGTGGCCTCTACGAAAATTGGCTTTGAAGCGCGGTGCTCTTCCTGGAGGCTTGTGCAGTGGCAGCTAACTAGCTAACGTAGCTAAATGAGGGTTAGCTAGGTGGCTTTTACCTAGATACACTACATGGTAAATGGACTGTACTTATATAGCGCTTTATCCAGTCTTTACGACCCCTCAAAGCGCTTTTACATACTACATGTCATTCACCCATTCACACCCATTCATACAGAGCAGTCTACCTTACTCTAGGATCTAACATTCACACACTGTTGGCCATGCCATCGGGAGCAACTCGGGGTTAAGTATCTTGCCCAAGGATACATCGACATGTTGGCTGCACGGGCCTCCGATTGAACCCACAACCTTCTGGTTGAAAGACGACCGCACTCCCTCGCAGCCACAGTTGCTGGTTGCTTTGTTAAACTAGCTGGTTATGTAGGCTAATTTGAGAACAGCAAGCTAGTTGGTATCACAGAGCCAATGGTTTGAATAAAGTATTCATAGACATTACAGATAGTAACGTTAATAATTCTGTTTTCTTTTTGTTGCTATGTCACGGCACTGCCAACCTCCAAAGATACTGAATGCTGTTCATTTAACCCCCTTCTTTGTAAGGTTATTTGTCGAATGAGACCCAACACTAACTGAAAATCTCCTCTCACCCATGTGCAGGTCATACAGTCTATGGTGAGGTATGAGATCAGCTCATGAGTCAGCAGAAAGCTGTCCTGGTCCTTCGGGTGTAGCTATTACTCCATTACAGTCCATCACAGCTACTCAATCCACTTCGCAGCCAATCAGCCTTACAGTGTTCTGGTGGAAAGAGGGAGAGAGGTGTTACATCCTGGTCATTAATGACTCTGAGAAAAATAAATTATGATGTTAGAGCTTTCAGCCTGTTGCTATGCCTCTAGGGTGAGAGAATTACTCAAAGCGATCAAATATATTCCACCTGGAAAAGTCAGAGCTGGCTCCAGAAAAGCACATCTGGTCTTTGGGTTTATGCTGGCTCAGATTGGTGTTTTTCACCACAGCTATAGCACACCATGCCTCCACTATTCACATGTCTTACTTCACTTCCTCGGACTCTCTTTGTCTCTGTCCGTGTTGGAGATTTTCATGTTTTAACCTCACTCGCAGCTGTAGTTTTACAGTATTTATACTACCTCCAGGTCGATTAAACATTTCAAACCACAATAAAAACATTGCTGCTTTCCTAATTTACCCAAAAGAGGACGCTTAAGAGGTTTTCGTCTTGATGGACATTCGTGGGGTTGTTTTCTCATGGATTAGAGATGTTGAGCCACTATAATAAGTAGAACACAGTAATTAACCTCCTCCAGAAATCCCCCTGCGACCCCTGGCAATTTGAAGTTCTCAAATATACCTTGTTTGTAAGCATGTGGTGTACATGGCAAACCGAAATTAACAAGTGATTCCTGCCAATGTAAACAGGTTCCCTTAGCCCCCGTATTACTCAAGGGAACCTCAGTGTGATGGGGCGCTGACAATCTGAAACATAAATAACTGCATGTTGTTGTTACTGATATGATCTCAATGGAAAGCACATTGAAAAGATTAAATACAGATTTGTTTTAACTTCAATGTAATGATTAGGAATTGTACACGGTGTACAACGTAGGATGTATTTATTGCAGCTTTGTCAATCATCACCTGACACCTTTTTACTATTAAATCTGCATTCATACATTTTTTGGGCCATTTCGACAACAAGTTGACAAACTTACAGCTCGTACATGAAGTTGTTGTTCTCTTAAAGTTGTTTTGGCTTATATTGTTAGCATACATTTTGTTATATTATGAGGCAGAGATTAAACTATTGTCTATAGAGTGTAGAGGTTAATCCACAGCCCTTTTGCCTTTGACTCTGAGAAAGACTAATTACAAATCCCCTGCACCTGCACCAGTTTCATCCACACCATGGCAGGTGAAGGGGGTTAGTAATTAGGGTTACTCAGAGGTCAATAATACTTAAAAAGCATAGGCTAAATGCAATAAAACCCCATGATAAATACATTTGAAAAATAATGCTCTTAAAAACTCTATGGGAGAAAAATGGAGAGCAGATGTAACTTTATTTTTGAATTGGGCATGTTTGAATAGTTCCTTCATGTCAGATGATGAAGGCCATGTTTTGTGCTGTCGGGAGAAAAACACCATATAAATGTGTATCGGGGAAGACATCGACAGCAGCTGAGTTATGATTCAAGTTGCACAGTGAAGGAAGTTTTATCAAATTTCAATTTTTACACAGCTTTTCTATTGCCACACTTCAATGTGTATCAAAGTAAGTAGATGGAAACACTGCTAATTCCCTTCGCCAAACACAAGTCATACCTTTGGAGTTATAGTGAATTTATAGTCTGTTCGTCCACTTCATACCTACCATAAATCCTCCATTTCTTCCGTTGTTTCTTTGTTTTCTCAGTACTTCTCTCTTGTGGTGACATCTGTTATACTTTGCCCTGTCCACCAACTGATTCATAGCTCCCCGTGTGGAAATAGTTTGCCAGCAGGAGGTCCAGCTCTCCATAAGAGGACAAATTATACCTGTCAGATTGAAGGAAATCTGATGTGTAAGTAAAGCATTTAAATTCAGACCTATAAATATCTTATCCTGGATTTTATATAAGCCATATTTTCCTGCTTCATAGATCAGAAACAGCAGCAATTTTACGCTCCAGCTTCAGGTTTCAGAGGTGAAAACAGCGAGTGATTTAGAGCAAATATTGCGTGCTCATAACTAATAGTTATGAGAACCGCAGGAATAAGGGCTTTGGGTGGATTCTTGAAGGAAGTTTTTCTTGGAGATCAGGTTACTAACATCCCACCAAGCATGTTTCAGCACTGAGGAAGAGATGCTGAAAATATCAAGTCAGCAGATCAGGGCGGCCCGCTACATGGAGCTGAGTTTCTACAACATAACATGCACAAAAGCCATGTGTCAGACATGAATGTTTGCTGATTCTTACAATAAAATCTTCTGAAAGTATTTAAAGCTGATGATTTTAGGCATATCAAATGTATTGTTTGTTATCCTAAACTCTTATTTATGGACAACTGTACCCATTGAATTCTACTGTGAACTACAAAATGTTAATCGTATGGCAAATGTTAAAACAACAGGGAATCGAATATTTTTAAGTCCGTGGAAGTTTACCTCAAAAATCCAATGGGAGGGGTTGGACATGTGTTTTTAATTAATGTCCACTCCCTTTCCCTCAACAATGGCACGCTGCTCTGGAAGTACAGTAGGACACTGACTGAGAACGAGTTAAAAAAAAGCTTTATTGAAGTTCGATGCAAGCCAGTCGCATTTCATTACAACACACAGGTTTTCCAAAAAAGTAAGTTTCCCTTTTTGAAAGATTTTCATGTGATATAAAAGGTTATTTATGTTTGTTTTATAAGATCTAAAAAACCCTCTTTGGTCATTCCTCTGCTTTCTCAAGTGTTACATTATTATGCATTGTTGTATTGAATGAGTGATCTGCCTAGCCTTCACACCAAAACGTTTCAACATAGGTCGAAGAGAGAGTTACTTTCTTTATTCTTACGGCAACAATAGAAGCAAACGTTGCACACAATGTAAAACAAAAGTCATTCGAGCGCAAATTCAGAAGCCATGAATTCTAAAACTTTACTTCTTCAATCGCTGATCATAAAATGACATATTCGTGCAGAAGATGTAAGAAAAGTCTTCAGAGTACCTGCTCTGAAATGCCAAAAGATAAAAAATCCTTCAATGTCACACTTTAAGAACCAATAAAGTGCCATCCATCTGAACATAATGTGTCAATGTGTACATAATGTAACAAGTAAAGATTTTGTTTCTGTGCCAATATGGGAATGTAAGCCTTTGAGTAGCTCGGACGGGAAACACCATCACTTTAGTCCTTATCCTTGGTTAACAGCTCTATTTATTGCCCAAGGAGGTTTTGTTGGTTTGACAACAACCTCGACATTTTCAACCAAGTACATTCAACCAGGCAAGACTTCAATATAGGTGTTTTTTTCCATTCCTATTCATATTATCATCTAAAACAAGTTTTTAATTCTGGTAAAATCGCATACTATGTCATCATACTGTACATGGACAAAGCTTTTTGTATTCTTTAGCTTCCTGGACAAGGAAACACTCGTGAAAAGATGTAAAGAGACCCATGTGCATGACAGCAGTTTCCTCCAACATAAGAACATTTCCATTTTCTGTCCAAACGCAGTCTGTTTCTGGCTTCAGGTACTGTGTCATCTCCCTTCTCAACAACAGTTCAGTTCTGTTTTCTCTTATCTACACCGTCCTCTTGGTTCCTTTCTTGTGGCCATGTCATTATATCAGGGGAATGCCCCCTTTAAAGCACAATCCCATTTTTGAAATGGTGCCTTTGTTCATAAGAATTCTCGATTTTTCTTGCATAATCCCATAGAAACTGGATTATTGCGTCCCCAGTCACAATGGATGATTTTCCTTCATCTGGTTAATAAGTCCTCTTGGTACCAGACAGATCACCTCTGGGTCCATCTTCTCACTGCCTCATGGTGGCGGGGGCTGGCATCCCGGCCCCCTGCAGGGTGTTGACGGGGGCCTGAGGGTATGGCAGGCCTCGGGGCCCAGGGTATCCCGGCTGTCCAGGCGGTCCCACTGGTCCTGGTTTCCCCCGGGCTCCTGGTGGCCCGATGATGCCCGGGAGTCCTGCCTGACCCTGGAGGCCTAAAACACCTGTGTGCCCATTGTTTCCGTCTAAACCGTGTAGGCCTGCGTTCCCTTTCTGGCCCTTCTCACCACGCGGTCCAGGTGGGCCAATAGGCCCTTTAGCTCCTTTGATCCCTCCTGCACCTCTGTTTCCAGTGGGGCCTGTTTCACCCGGAGCTCCTTTGGGCCCGAGAGAACCTTTCTCTCCAGGAGTTCCCCGGCCTCCTTGCGGGCCTCGGTCACCTTTAGTCCCACTCAGTCCCATTGGTCCTTTCGAACCGCTCTCACCACGGTTCCCTTTTGGCCCGGGTAGTCCAGGAGCACCTGTTGAGAGAGGATGGTGAGGTTCAGTTCAAAAGTTAAGTGTACATTTCAAGGGCTGACACCTTATAGTTGGTTGACTAGTTGGTCAATACACTCTTGTCCAACCTAATTGTCATTGGTTTTACTTTTAGAGGAATAAAAGCGCTTCATAACCCTGACGCTTTTTTAGGCGTGTTTGAAAACTACATTACATTAATTTTGTGGTTTATGGGTCGGGTTCTTTGTTGATTGTTGAATGCATATTTCTGCGGGCTGGGCAATGAGTGTTGGTTCTCATCACAGGTTTGGTTGGTGTTGGTATCAGTAAGATGACCCAAAGGGATCGTTCGCTTTGAGTCCATCGTCATCATTTCCGTTTAAATTAATTTTGGTTTGGAATAACCGAATATGGGTTTTTTATGTTTATTTATAATTCATTTAGGCTTCCAGGTTAAGTGCCTTCAGGGCACTGCGGCTGATTCAGTTCAGATTCTAGAGATAACTAGCAGATTTGTCCACCCCTTTGACCAATTCAGTGCATGAAGAATAGACAGAATCAGCCATGATTTTGACAGCCCTATTCATTTCATATATATGGCAACCAGTACCGTACCTTTTATTATAGTGAAGTTCTTTATGAGCGTGGTATGGTGCACATCCACGAGCTTCATCTCCTCCATCACCATGGACAGATTCCTGACGTCTACATCCACTCGGACATTCAACAACGTGTTTTGCTGTCTCAGTGTGTCGGCCAAGTGGAGGAGTAACAACACCGTGTTGTTGAGGTTCTGGACAAAAGAGACAGGACGCGTCAGATGTGAGGAGAAAGAAAGACTCAAAGGAGAAAAAACCCAACAAACACAGGAGGACTTCAGCTGTTAAGCATACATAAGGATGGAAGAAAGAACTCTTTAATGTGTCCTACCTGTAGATCTTCAGAGTGTCGGCCCATGCGGCTCTGGCAGGACGAGCTCTCGATGTTGATGTACTTGAACATGCTCTGGACGTGGCTGACGGTGGCGTTGATGCTGGAGGAGATTGTGTCGATCTCCATGGAGATGGAGTTCAAACGACTATCCAATGCAGAGAAACGCTCACCTGTACGATTCTCATAGTACCTAAAGAGAAGGGTTGCAGAGTCCAGGTCGGTTTTTACATTTCCTGAATGACAATACTCTTATCGGAGCAAAGGTTATACTTGGAAAGCACATGTTTTACTCAAATTAGCAATTAGCAATCGTAATAAAAATTCAAAAGGACAAACTGCCTAAGTTTTCTTTATTATGCTGGATGCAAATGGTTTGCTTTGGACATCCGAATAAAAAGGAAAAACTTGGATGTTTAGAAGTTTAGAATCAGGCATAAAAGGATACCAACTAAGTCAATGCGATGCCCTCTCATATGTACATGTATGAAATGTGTGTTACCTGGAATGGTAGTGCAGGTCATGCAAGTTCTCCTCGTGTTCATCCATGAAAGAGGTAACATTGTCGAGTTGCATCTGCAGGTTCATCACCTGCGATTGGAAATGTACATAATAAAGAATTTATCAAGACAACAGGTAAAAATAGAGGAAGTTTGTGTTAACTGGGATGAACCATAATAGTCTGTCTCTAATTTCAAACCTTACATTTCAAACCTGATTATAAAGCAACAGGATTTTACCGTTACAGTTAATGAGTGTGCGTGCTAAGCGATGGATACGCCATGGACTTTTTGAGGCCATCCTTACCCAAACACTAGAGTGGGGCTGGCGTAAGTTGTAGAAGTTTTACCAGTAAAAGCGCAGACCACTTCAATATTTAGTTGCTTTTTTCAAATTAAACTTGAAAACTGAAACAGACACACACCTGCTGTGTGAGGTCGTAGTACACCTCAGTGGACATGGCGGTTCTCTGTTGATCTGTTACGATGTTGTTTTGTAGGGAGCGCATTATTTGTGTGGTGCTGCTCGTGTTGGATTTCATTGCGCTCAGAACTTGGCTGTAGTTCTGCCAGTCGGTTGTCAACTTCTGGAGGACCAGACTCTCCTCATCAGCGTTCCTCTGCAAGGCATCGATCCACTGTGTACTGGAGAGCACAGGAAAACAAAGAAGACGTTATTACATAATCTTTCCATTTTTAAAAACTGTGGAAGCTACCAAAAAGTATATGATGAGAAGATGTTTTATTAAATCAAATTGTATCTATCTATCTATCTATCTATCTATCTGTCTGTCTGTCTGTCTGTCTGTCTGTCTGTCTGTCTGTCTGTCTGTCTGTCTGTCTGTCTGTCTGTCTGTCTGTCTGTCTGTCTGTCTGTCTAGTCTGTCTGTCTGTTTGTCTGCCTGTCTGTCTGTCTGTCTGTCTGTCTGTCTGTCTGTCTGTCTAGTCTGTCTGTCTGTTTGTCTGCCTGTCTGTCTGTCTGTCTGTCTGTCTGTCTGTCCGTCTGTCTGTCTGTCCGTCTGTCCGTCTGTCTGTCCGTCTGTCCGTCTGTCTGTTTCTCTGTCCGTCTGTCTGTCTGTCCGTCTGTCCGTCTGTCCGTCTGTCCGTCTGTCCGTCCGTCCGTCTGTTTCTCTGTCCGTCTGTCCGTCTGTCCGTCTGTCCGTCTGTCCATCTGTATGTCTGTTTCTCTGTCCGTCTGTCCGTCTGTCCGTCTGTCCGTCTGTCCGTCTGTCCGTCTGTCCGTCCGTCCGTCCGTCCGTCTGTCCGTCTGTCCGTCTGTCTGTCTGTCTGTCTGTTTCTCTGTCTGTCTGTCTGTCTGTCTGTCTGTCTGTTTGTCTGTCTGTCTGTCCGTCTGTCTGTCTGTCTGTTTCTCTGTCCGTCTGTCCGTCTGTCCGTCTGTCCGTCTGTCCGTCTGCCCGTCTGTCCGTCTGTCTGTCTGTCTGTCTGTCTGTCTGTTTGTCTGTCTGTAAGTCTATCTATCTCAATTGGTCACGTTGTACAGTATGTCTGAATCAGCATTATGTGTTCCAGCTGTGCCTTTTTCAAAACGGAATTCCCAGTTATTATTCTTTCTGTGCTTTGCTTCATAAACAATGATTTGCTTGTCAGAAAAGTGCAGTGGGGACTTTGACTCTGTCAGCCACTGATTTCCCTCTTGGCCAGTTCACTCAAAGGTCATGAACACAATGTGAACATGAAGCTAACGAGACGTGATAAGCATCTAGCAAAATCATATGAATACTGTAAAAGTATTTATTTTATTAATGAAAACTGTGGTGAAATATAGCTAACAATCTTTTTTCCAGGACGAAGACATGAAGTTTACAAAAATGGCTAAAATAGGATTTCAAAATTAAAGCTAGAATATCATATCTATTATTTTGTCATTGATGAAAAAATACACAATGAAGAATAATATTAGATCAAGCTTTGTTCATCCCTCTCTTGTTCTATCCTTTATTCACCTGAGAGCCACTGTAATGTTGACTTGCTGCGACGTGGCTTTGATCTCGTACTGATCCTCCGCCAGCGTCTTCATTTTCTCTTCAGTTTCCTCGATCACTTCCTTCCAGCCCTCCACTCGTTCCAGGTATCTTTCCAGCGACTGGTTGAGGAGTTTGATTGACATGAGGTGGTTCTGCATGTCGCGTGTCAGCCGGCTGCTGGTGGTCTTCAGCATTGTTTGGGTCTGGGAGGCCCCATCCAGGACCTTTAGGGACCAAAGGGTCAGAAATGTAATGTCTTCGGTTGAACAAAACACAACCTTGGAAATAACCAGAGGTGGGAAGTAGTGGAGTACAAATACTTTGTTACTGTACTTAAGTACATTTTTCTGGTATCAGTACTTTACTCCACTACTTATTTTTCTGACAACTTTTTAATTTGACTTCTTACATTTGTATCACTAATACCTGTACTTTCTACTTTCTACAGGTTTGTTACTTTAGTTTGAATGTGCGTTTGGTGGCGTGATCATTATTATTTAGAGTCATTGCGTGCCTATTGATTTGAACACGATCCGTGTATCCATCATTTCCTGGTCTTCTCTAAAGAAGAGGGACCAATGAAAACTTTGTCATGTTGCCGTTGTTCAGCATGGAAACATTCATTAGCTAACAATGACATTATTGTTCTATTAATATAAAGGGAGGTCAGGTACTCTTTAAAACAGTTGGTAGTTATGGGTACTTTTTACTTAAGTACATTACGAAGCCCATACTTCTTTACTTTTACTTGAGTAAAAAAGTTTAGTCAATACTTCTACTTTTACCAGAATATTTTTAAACACGAGTATCTGTACTTCTGCTTGAGTAAAGGATGTGTGTACTTTTCCCATCTCTGGAAATGAAGCCTTTGTCTGTTAGAGCTTGTTGTGTGGTCTATCGTACCTGCTCCTGTCCCAGTATCATTTTCTGGATCTCTTCAAACTCCTTCTTCAGTCGGCTAATCTCCTCGCTGTACAGAGTCACATCCAGACAGCCCGAACAGTTAGAGGTGGAGCTCAGATCTGAGGTGGAGGTAGAGAAATAAAGACAGTGAGGCAGGATAGGTTTTTGAACAAGAAATCTTTTAGTTCCTCAGAAAAAGTGAAACTTGAACACTTAAAGGTGGGGTAGGTCATTTTGGAGAAACCAGCTCGAGTGCGCTAGAATTTGAAAATACACAGCCGGAAAGAATCTGCCACTTCCTTACAGAGCCCCTCCTCCAACACACACGAACGTGCACATGACCAATGAGGGCACGAGATAAGTTTGTGCACAGATGGAAGGCTGACAGGCAGGTAGGCCATCCAGTTATTTTAGCCGGGCCGGCTCAGATGATTGGTCGTGCTTTTTACAGTACCACGGCTTCCACAGATGACATTTCTTTATGGATTTTTTGTCAAAGCACTTAAGATATTCATTGCTATCGGGATGTTAAGAGCATTCCATGGAATATAACAAAAAGTGTATCTCGAGCCGGTTTCTTACCGGTACCTTTAAGATCCATAATAGCTACAAAATTGACCTTGTGGAGGTCGTCAAGAATATTTGTTTCTAAACATTTAACAATGTTTAGCGTTTTGGTTATAGAAAACAGCCAATGCAGGCTATTTTAGTGCTGTCAATTACGTAAAAAAATGAAGATTTTGTGTAGAAATGTATGAAATGTCAGAATAAAATGTAACTAAATTCATCATTTGTCTAAAAAAAAGTGTATTGCTAGCTCCAAGAAACTTACAAGATAAACTTCTGTGGCGAGTCATTTTCCAATTAAATTTGTTTTCCCGTAATTCTGCAAACATGTCCCAAATTGGGATCAATAAAGTACTATCTTATCTTATGTTTAGGGTCTATGAGGTCCCCCTGACTTTATAATAGTATGATATAATACTAAAGCTTCTTTACCCTCTATTCCTTGCTGAGCCCTGGTGATCTTGTTGTGGTAGACGGACTCCTCCCCAGACAGGTTGTTGACCTTCCTAAACACTGGAAACACAAAGACAGTTGAGTTATTGGAAAGAAAATTGTTCTTGTGTTGGAATATGACATACTCTTATTCCCAAGCTCAATATTTATGTTTCAGTGTAGGAGCATGATTCTGCTCTTGCAGAAGTCAGTGAAAGTCAATTGGGAATCAAATCATTAGCTTTAAACATGCAAACAATTATTTATGATGGTTTTTGCATGCTGAGGAATAGATTAAAAAATGATCAACATCAGCAGTATTACGGTGTTGACAGGACATAGGAAGTATTTCAAGTAGTAAAAACAGGAAGTTGTAATTTAAGGCCTGACACCAAGTTTTCATTAGCTAAGAAACGTAACCCAAACACTGAAGAATGATGGTTTAGCCAGCTGGCCAGGTCCTGCTTCTTTCCCCACATATTTCCCAAGAGAGCAACAATTATTTAGTGAGTGTGAGTTTGTGGGAGTGTAAGTTAGTATAATGTGTGTTTGCAGACCTTTTCAGCATCCTAAGCCCTGACTCAGGGGATTAATGCAGACTTGTTCCATTGTATGTTTGCATATATAAATGCTTCCACATGCGTTCTGCACGTACCACCTGCTCCACTGTATTAGCTGCTGTGACAGTGACGCTGAGCATGGCTTGTTTGTTCAATACTCTGCAACAATGCAACAGTATTTGGTTTTTTAAAGGTCACCTATTATGCAAAATCCAATTCTACATCAACATGTGTCCCCTCTGTGGAAAGAGATTCTGAAAGTTTCAGGAAGAAAGATTCTCTCTCTTTTTGTCCTGATCCATTTATATAAAAACCTGTCTGAAAATGAGCTGATCAGATTTTGGCCACTTTATGATGTCATAACGATTTGTTGGCTTGTGTAACCATTAGCCAATCACCAACCAAGGTAACCCCCCCCCCCCCCCCCCCCTTATCACCTGAATCTCCTCCTAGAGCACCATTGTGTTCTTTTTAACCAAATATCTCTCAGAGGGGCGTGGGGAGGGGCTCCTTATTTTCATCTAAAGTAACAGACAGAGGGTGTTTCTCAATCGCGAGTAAAGCTGCTTCAGAGCCACTATTTCAAGCATACTACGTCATTGAGTGCCGCCGAAGTACTGTTCCAATCTCCAGTATACTTGGAAATCTACCGAGCCCGGCGTACTCCGTTTGGAGAAATATTGAGTGTGCACATGAGTAGACTTCGCGGTCTTAAAATCCCCACAATGCTTTGCGCACGGACCAATTTCCCCAAATCTGTGGCGGAAGATGTAAGGCGGGGCCTCTCATATGACGCACACCTGCACACTTGCTAGCCTGTTCCACTCTTTGTTTTCCGAATGTCAGGAAGTATTCTTGACTCGCTTCTGAAGCAAGATGCTCGGCAGACATGTGCTACCAAGCAAGCGTACTCGCGATTGAGAAACACCCAGAGAATCAGCACTTTAGAAACAGGGCTGAAACAGAGGGGATTATGGGTAATGCTGCAATGATCTGTTTGGTATTTGGAGCCAAACACTTCACAGACATGTTTGTATATATCTGAGACCTATAATATATTGATGAAAAACAGTATAATAGGAGTGCTTTAGAAGTGACGCATGGCAAAATATTCAATTCACTCCAAACAATCTGCAAATAGCTAAATCATGTGTTGCTTCATTCCACATTTGTTACTAAAGGAATGTGTTTTTTTTATAAAACAGATGTTGAGCAGGAAACAGAAAAATCAAAGGTTATTTTTCTCTGTGTTTTCCTCGTGCACATGCACAGTTTGGAGTTGCAGCCAAGTTAAATATCTTTTCTGTTTATACTCAAGTCAACCTCTAGCACAGCTGTACGAGACCAAATCTAAACTAAGCTCTGTTTCTGTGTATAAAGCATTCTATAAAAAGATGTGATTCTGTGTATGTGGTATGCATGTTTGAATGGGTTGAAAGAGCTAGCTCAAAAGATCTAACCATTTGCATTTGAAACACCCAAGATGCCGGGTGTAAACGGGCCTACATTACGTTTCTGTACCTGAATAGCTTCTTCGTGCATTGTGCGATTTTACTTCACTCTCACCATGCCTCACTCTCGCTCTGTACACTTGAGATCCCCAAAACAGTAGTAAAAGATTAAGATTTACGACTTTCAGACCCAATAAAATGTGATGTTAATGTAAGAACCAGCTGTTGGTGCTGAGCAGCTGTCTGGAGTTAAAATGACTGTGTTTAATTAATACACACATACAGCACATAGAAAAATATGACCTTTTTCCATGACAAGCCTTCTTCTCACTTCTTAATGCATATCAGCATTATCAGAGAAATAATCAAAAATAATTGCAAGGGTGTTGACTGCATCTACCTGAGAGGTTAGTGTCTCTGTAGAGGAGTCTAATGCCCCTTTCACACCGGCGCTTTTCCAGCTCCTGCTCGGAGCTGGAGCTGGAAAAGCGCCGGTTTTTCCTGTTCACACCGCAGCGGCGGCGCGTCATAGCTCCGGAATGCGGTTCACTTCCAGCTCCAAAAAATTGTCGGTCCAGAGGCAAGAGCTTCGGAGCTATGACGCGGCGTCGCTTACGTCTCTTACGTCGAGGCGTGCAGGAAACCTTACTTTGACCATCCGTTCGCTGTTATTGATCATTGTGGAGATACATGGGCTGTACAGGTTGTCATGTCCGACTATCACAAGTAGAATCATAATGAAAAATACGCCGGTAAAAAGTGCCTGTAGAAAACGGCTTAGCAAGTAGTCAGTTTAGCTTCGGTTGCTATGCTAACATCACCCATGTTATACGAGAGAAACTTTCATAACAGCGTTGTGATGCCAAACAGCGTCAATTCAGACTGACACACATTCACTTAAGGGGAACTGGGGATATGTATCAGCTGCTTGTGTGACAGTCAGACAGTGAATACTTTAGAGCCGTGTGAGCTAACCCGGAGCTAACGGGAGAATAAACTCCCGTGGAAGAGCAGCCAGCACTGCAGCAGTCGGTAAATGCAGCTGAAACACATTAATAAACAATGAACCACGGCACTCTGGAAAAAAGTATAAGGTTGGAGAAGTCGTTATTTAATTTAATCTGGCTTCGTATGATTAAAAGCAACACGATCATCGACCCGATGCAGTCCCCGGCCCGTTGTTGTTGTGGGAGAAAATCAGCGACGTAAACTGTGACGTCATGACGCAGCAGCGGCAGCTCTGGGCAGTGTGAACAGAGCGGGAGCTGAAAAGGGAAACCGGAGCTGAACCAGAAAAGCTCTCGCTAGGAGCTAGAAAGGGAAAAGCGCTGGTGTGAAAGCTGCAAAAGAGATGATATATGGAGGGCTTAAAGACTTCATCACAGGATTCATCGACTGCAACGTGATTGTAAAAGAAAACTTACCGAGCGATGCCAGCACTGCCACAGTAATGATGAGGAACGCTACAAAGCCATAGAGCACTTTGACAGCCAGCTGGAGGGAGTGGCTCTGCTGACACCTCAGACAGCCGCCCCTGCTGCGACCTGCATGAAGAATCAATATAAACAGACATGAATATATGTGTGACTGAATAAGTTAATACCAACAAAAAAGTCAGAATCTAATATGCACGAACATTTGATTTGATTATTCAAGGTCATCAAAAGACAAGTTACAAGTTGCTGTTTAGAGAGGATACAAATATTGTCATCACAATTCACAAATTACCTGACAGCCTCAAAACCCAAAGTTGTATTAACATTTACTTTACAATCAAAGGGGGAAAAAAGCCGAGTATTACTGATAGCAGCCCTCATTTTAAAAGCTTAAAGTGGACCTATCATGCTATATTTGAATAATATAGTGTAGGACCATACCTATATAAAGGCATATTTATACTTTTTTTTTTTCAAAATACCAAACAGATCATGCATTTTAGCCATGCCTCATTTTGCTCAATTTGACAATTTCTAGCTCTGTTTTAGCAAGGGCTGATTCAGTGAGAACAGCACCATCTACAGGCCTGGCATATGTACTACAGCGTCTCCAGCGCTTTTGAACGGCAATGGCCGTGGCTGCCTCCTCCTGATTGGTGGAGTTGGCCCAATAGCCGTAGCGCAACTGTCCTGACGTCAGGACAGTGTTCAAATCTGGATCAGTTTTTATCAGATCCGTTGCAGCCCCTTTTTTAGAGATTTGGGTATGGAGGAAAATAGAGAGGGTTGTGTTTTCTGACACTTGGTGAGTTCCCTGGAACACCGGGGACACATATTCATGTATAAAAGACGTACAAAAGTGCATTTTGCATGATAGGTCCCCTTTAAGTAATAGTTTAATCTTTACCAATGCAGGATATTTTATAAGATGATTGTTTGTTTTGTTGGAATAGTTGCAACTTTAGTTTTTAAATTAATTTAGTTGATGCATTATTTCTTAGTGAAATGTTATTCAGTATTCGCATTGCATAACCACGATGGCAGGAAAACTCAAGTCATGCATGTACAGATATGTGTATAAAGCATGTCATTGGTGGAAAAGAACATATCACAGATCACATTATTTGTTGTTATTAGACTTGTGTGTATGTGTGTGGCCTTCACCTCTAAATGAAGGCATTTCCTCTTCTCCAGTGAAATCCTCCTCTGAAAAACAGGAACAAATGTAAACAAAACACGATGTCTTACAACTGACCAAATAACACAGCAGTCCTGGTTTGCAAAAGGTTTAATATTTGTAGTGTTTATTGTCATGTCCTTGTAAAAAAAAATCCCAAAAGTAGGTTGCATTATTTACTGCAGATCTCTCAAACTGCACTTTTGTGTTCTTATCTTCTGTAACATCACATTTAGAATCATAGTCCAGATCATATCCATAGGGTTAACTATGCAGAGTAATGGTTGTTCTATAGGCATATGGAGAACAGAGATGAGTGGTAACATCATACAAATAAAGTTAGTTATAATTGCCTGATTACAGTCAGTTACTCCCTTTTATTCATTGATACAGGATCTAATCTGAAAAGCCTACGGACAATCATGTTGAATGTGCGGATCAACATTGATGTTTCGTAGACAATAGAAAACCTCGATCATTACCTTTGAAAAGCTGGTTCTCGTATCCACCATAGCTGTCTGCCAAAGCAAGAGAAAAACAGACATTTAAAGGACTGAAACCAATTCAGCTGGAGCCACCAACAAGTTTTATTACTCCCGTCATAAATCATGAAAAACCAGCTGCCTAACAATCCCCCACAGCCCCCCCCCCCCCCCCCCCCCCCCCCCCCCCCCCCATCTCTGGAGTCTGCATTGTACTGGGCATGGTCAATGTGAAGCTGCCATCTCAGCACAATAAAAAGGAAAGGTTTTTGTTCTGCTCAAATGTTTTCTCTGCTCACTCGGGAGAACTCGGTCCCACAGTGGTGTAAAAGTATGAGAACAGTTGTTGGTTTTGTGCGCTGATGCTGGTGGGAGTATTGTGTGTCTGATGAGGTTGTCATCATACACTCTGGGCTGAAATAAGAAACATGACGTCCACAGAATATAACCAGATGGCTTAATAAAACACATAGAATGCATTTAAAGTCATGTTTTCATAACTGGATCTAACAGCAATGGATTTCATACAACACGTCATTAAGTGTACACCACCCAAACTGGAACCCAACCCCACACCTGAGGCACTTGTTTAAGAAGCGTAAACACTCGGTGGAGCAGCTTGGAGGCTGTTTCTGGAGGAAAAGAGCAGGGAAACACATTCATTAACGGGAAAAAATAGGTTTGGCAGGTTGCTGAGAAGCTGAAGAGAGACAGTTGGATTGTGGTCATGGTGCCGTGTCAGTACTGCCAATGGAGCTGGCCCAAAAGAAAACATTGTTTTATTACATAATGTATGCGTGCACATGTTACTCCAGACATGTCCCTAAAATAAAGCACATCTAAGTGACTTTGCACTGGCGTTTCTGATGGTAGAAATGTGGAAAAAGTGTGTTGACTGAGTCTAGACAGATGTGATGTCATTTCAATTAATATTCTACTAAATATATATGTCGTCGGTCTCAAAAACACACCATTTGTTAGCTTTAAAGTGGCTCTGAAAGGTTTTAGCTGCTTATTCATCAGCTGACTAATAACATCCAATCATATTCAAACAGGAGGCCTTTATAATGCCCTTACTATTTTGGTTAAAGCTATGGCTAAATAGTCAAATAAACACCAGAGGCAATGAATATTTAGTTCTTGAGACACACTTTCTTTAAACAATACATTGGTGGAGACAACGTAAGAAGTTGCAATTCTCAATGAAAGAGATACAAAATGCTTATTAGCAGATGCATTAAGTGAGACCTTGTCTTACACTTAATGTTGGAACCTTTAATGTGTTTCTTTTTAAGTGAAACATTGGTATAACTGTAAGTGTGGATTTGTAGTTTACAGCACACATTGAGTTGATCAAATATCTTTCTTTTTTTTGTTTTAGAACATTTTTCAAGCCAATACAAAATGTTGCAAAATATTATCTGGTTAACCACAGAATCAGCTCAACATGAAGAAAAGTGTGGCCTCTCATCGGGAGAGAAGACGAGAAAAAGCCAGAAGAGAATAAAACCAGGAGCAGCTGCACACAATGTCAAAAACATAATTTGCCATAAATACAGTTGTTTTTTTCCAACAGATACAAATCTTTCATTTCTACATCAGACTATTTGAATGCAACCTAAAACTGCATATTTGTGTTCATCCAAAAGGAGAGCTGTCACCATAACAGTCTGTGTAGTATTATGGAATTGCATGATTGTTTAACTTTGGCTTTAACCAAATAAAGAAAACACATGATATAATCTCCTAAAACAATGTCAGTAAAGTTTAGATAGAGAAGAGAACACTTGGCCTGCAGACGCCACGATGAGGTGAATGTTTATGTGAGCGAAGGAAAAGCTGAGGTCACAAAACACTGAGGCGGACATAATGATGGAGGGAGGAGAGGAGTAAAGGATGGTGAACTCTAACAAACCCCTCAGTTATACGGATCACCTTAGTATCTTTAAGCACTTTGTTTGGGCCTTAACGTCACTGTTTTGTTTCACTGTCACTGCTCACATTAAGATGGTTTTAAGCAGCAGGCATATCCTTTCCTAAGACAAACAAAGAATCACAAAGTCTGGTGAACATAGCGGAGCAAATGGAGACTAAAAGAGCCACGTATATTTCTCAGGATTTCAACAGAAAACTAAAAAGGTGTGTGAATATACGAAGTGCACGAACAAAAAGAATGCTAACGTTGCTCTGTGTCTGCTAGATGTGTAAATGTGCAATTGTTTTTCTAACATTTCCATCAACTTTATAAGGTGAAACAATTCAAATGTTGTGTGTACAGCTTCTGACCTAAATGCTTGAAAGGTAACTGTTTAAAAAGGTTGGCCACCTAAAATCAGTCACGCTTTTTCAAAGATATAACTAAACAGTGAACATTCAACATCAACTTAAAAGCAATATGAGTATGATGAGTGTAGGAGAAGGATCTCATACCATAATTATTCTGGGTTCAAGTGGAGAGTAATCATCTAAATCCTGTTTCAGAAACGTTCCCACCCTGATTAAAATGCACTTCTGGAGGGAAACTGAATACTTGTAATTTTTGGGCGTTTCTGTGGCATGAAAAGAAGGATCAGATTAAAATGTTTGAATGTCAGCACATTATTTGCTTCTGAAAGGTGAAATTCCACAATATCTCGATCAGTATCCACCCTCAAATATCTGTCTAGCTTCTCGGTTATGTTTCACCTCCCTGCCTTTTTTTTTTCTCTCTTTCATGTTTTCCCTGCTGAAAAAAACCTAAAGTCTCGTTAGTGAGGAAGTCGACCTGTCCAACACTCACAGAGCAGAACTGAGCGGGTCTGACAGCACCGGGCCTACCGGGTCACACCTATACAGTCAGGCAATGGCTGAACACTTTGGAAAAACTGAAAACTGTATTTGGATCAGTCTTAATCAGTTACCTCACCCTTTCATTGTCAAATGTACACTTCAAGGTTCAAGGCTTTTATTTGTTATACGTACATAGCTACAGTGTAGTTATGTCGATGAAAATCTTAGGTCACAGGCTTTGACAATTTGACAATTCAAGCAAGTCGTCATCAACAACCTTATTTGCCAATTATCACCAAATAAACAAAAATGGATTATCTGCATAAACCCTTCATGACGTTAACAGATAAGTCACTTTGCTTTCAAGAGAGGGATCAGATCATTTAAACCGATCATGCATTAAAGGTGGGGTAGGTAATTTTGGAGAAACCAGCTCGAGTGCGCTAGAATTTGAAAATACACAGCCGGAAAAAATCTGCCACTTCCTTACACAAGCTGGTTTCTCCAAAATTACCTACCCCACCTTTAAGGTCTTCTGGTTTCTATAAAAAAACTGCTTTGAAAAATAATAAATAAAATAAAGGTTTGACAGCGCTAAAAGTGGTTATGGCAGCATGATTAACAAGATTTAGAACAAACTTCTGCCTCACATCTTTTTTTCTTTTCATATTTGCTGTTAGTCTTGTGAACTTCTGGGTCATTTTACCTCTTCAGGGTTTTAAAGGGGGGTATTGAGAAAAAAATGCACTAAATATACAATTAGTACTGAACTCACAAGCAGGCAAGTAGCTTTATGTTTGGCGACACATTCGAACATTTGAAAAACATATGTGGTGTTCATGTGAGGCCACTGTTTGCATCATTGGTTAGTGCCCTATGGGTTGACATAAGGACTTTTTAAATATTTGGGACCACATTTTGGAGCACTAAGAGGCTTAAAATAATGTATTTGACAATAAGGCACACTTTACATGAGAGACCTGACCAGACAGGTGGTTTTTCCAGACAGTGGGGCAGACTGAGGTTGGAAAATGGTGGTTGCAGTTAGAATACACACAGCAGCATGTGTGCACTTGTGCTGTGACAAGAAGTAAATACACTGTAGGGATGTGTACTTGAGGGACAAGCTAGACACAATATATTAAACCTTATCTAACAAAACTACACTTTTCTTCAAAAGGATGGACTGAATAGCAGAGGATGCAATAAAAGTAGGCAAACAACAAGGTCAGGAAAATTACCATATTGACTATAATCAAAATAGATCTGTTTCCTTGCTTAATCTGGGAGAGATACGTTTCCCTCATAGCAACCTTACTGTGTAGCAGACCAGGGTTTTCAGTCTTAAACTGTAGTTAAAGTTGCTGGCTCAGCTGGTGTACAGTGGACCAGCCGCCACACCTATGAAAATATCAAGCGACGCACACAGGATGTGGGATGGACAAGTTACAGGTTAGTTTACAGAGCTTTTATAAACATTTCTGATTGTTACGAATCAGTTCCACATGGATTCCTGTACAGGTGGACGTGAGTATCAATTACAGATGAGCCACGGGGCTACTAGCAGGGGCGTTCGGGACGAAACCCGATGGGCCGGTACTGAAGTGGGCCGGTCGGACGATGTGGGCCGGTCGGATAAGTCACTAGCACCCCCTCCCCCCCCCCCCGTTGACAATTTGCTAGCGGTATTTACTTGCAGCACCGAGGTGGGCCGGTCGGATAAGTCACAATTTACTAGCGGTAGGCTAATTACTTACTGAAGTGGGCCGGTCGAGAGAGTCCCGGGCTGATGTGTAGTCCCAGTCCGCCCCTGGCTACTAGTAAGCGAAAGCAAGGCTCGAAACTTTACAAAGTACGAACAAATTGAAATATCAGGATGTTGTTCTTCACCCACTCAGCTCCCTCCGTCTACTCTTTCACCATTGGACCTTTGGTGTCTGTGAACGCAGCGCCAGGCCTGATCCTGAGTCAGCTAACCCTCAGCACCACTTCATGTCTGTGGTTCCTCTGTGGTGGTTCCTCTTAGGGGCATTTTGGACTTTCCAAACCCTTTCCCCACCCTGTCCCTCCCTTCTTTCTCCCTCTGGACTTAACTTTTGCCAGGGGATTGTGTAAGACTTGGTGGGTAACATGCCCTGAGTGTCCTTTCACTTCACTTCAGCCCTTTTTTCGAATTTGTTATAGGATAGGATATAGGATAAAGTTCCCAATCATTCCTGATTAAACTTTTGCTTTTTGGAGGGGTCTCAACACTGGACGGGTTGTCGCAGGGAGGAGGTCCTGTCGTACTGACATTTATTGTTTATTATTGACATTTTTGTTTTAGCTGACTGGTTTTCTATTTATTTATTTGTTTATTTTTTGTTTGTCTGTTTGTCTGTTTTTGTATGTCTGTTTTTTGTTTGTCTGTTTGTCTGTTTTTGTATGTCTGTTTGTCTTCTGTCTGTGTGGGATTTTGTTTGCCTTGGTGTTAAGCAGTAATTACATTGTTACTCCACCTATTTTTCTATAAAGTGAAGATCTGTTTACCTACTTTTGATACATGCTCTGATAGAATAACTGTATGCTGTTAAAAAAAAACAATAATAACTTCACTTCACGGTGGGATTTGAATCACAACTAAAGATACTTGTCATGCCTTTATTATTTTACTAAGTTCATTTTACCAGAAAAATCCCCCTCAAAACCTCAGTAATTCCCAGCTTTAAGTGAAACCAGGAGTCCCGAGATGGGCCCTGCTCCAGATTAGAGTGGAGGTCTTGACCACAACTCATAAAGCCAAATGAGTCCCTCTCCAAACCTCTGTTGACATCCAAGTCATTTAGCTGCCCTCTGACTGGAATGTGTGGTCTCCTCGCAAACTTTAACGCCTGGTATGTGTTGCTTCAGACTGCGAAGCTGAAGTTTTTCACAAGCCATGACAAGAACTTTTTCTTTATTGTGGTCAGGCAGTGAAACGAGAGATTTTCAGAGTCAAGATCCCGTAAACGCATCATGTTTTCTCAGGACCAAAACCGCTCTGGACTGCCATGCTGAGACACAGACATGCCTTGTTAAGTTTACACGGCTTTGAGGCCAAAGGGCGTTTACCATATTCTCTAATGCTTTATTTACAGGCCTCTCACTTTTTTTACTTGCCCTCTTATCTCTTAGGATCACCTCCTATAGGGACTTTTCTACAGACACATAATGGAGATAAAACATAAGAACATCTTTCCCAAAGAACCATCAAATATAAGGTTAAAAGTAAGTGGACACTTGAATAAAAAATGTGGACACGTTAGTCTAGTCATAATAACATGAGGGTTTTCTTAGATAATATTTGACCGTCAGTGAATTTAAATGAGTTACACCACACAAATGAGTTAATATGTATGTTAGTTGTTAATTGTCAATAAAAGCATACTCCGCTAACTGCCAAGTGCTAGCTAACAGAAACAACCAACTATTGACAGCTAGCATGCTAATTTGTTGCCTGTTCATATTGACAAGGAAACGGATCAAAATGAAGTTAAAGTGGACCTATCATGCTATTTGTAGGCAATAGCATAGGTCTCAGATATATACAAATATATAAAAAACATGTCTATGAAGTGTTTTGCCCAAAATACCAAACAGATCACTCATTCTAGCCATGCCTCATATCCCTCTATTTCACTTCCTGTTTCAAAAGTGCTGATTTGGGGTATAAAGCTTTAAAAAAAAAAATTGATGAAAAAAAAAGGAGGGGGCTGAGCTCATGCGGGACCCGGCAGCTACTGTCTAAACTAAATACTGCCGTGATGAAACACCATATCATGGATTATCAAGGATTATTTCTGAAACAGTATGGAGCTCAAAGGCTTTCTCTCTTGCCGGTTATACCACAAGGTGAGTTCCTTTTTATTTCCTGCTTCTTCACACACATGCTCTCCAGTACAGGTTAGCTCTGAGTGTTAGCGATGCTAATGTAAACACCGACCATATTACGTCCAAAACAGTCGGGCATTGTTTCTGATAGCAACGTTTCTGATAGTGCTGTGGGTCCACATTTCCGATATTACATCATATCGGACGCAAATCTGGATCAGCTCCGTTGTAGCCCCGTTTTTAGAGATGAACGGAGGAAAAGAGAGAGGGTTTTATTTTCTGATGCTGCGTGAGTTCCCCGACACACCGGGGACACATCTTTATGTATAAAATACATCAAAAAGTGCATTTTGCATGATAGGTCCCCTTTAAATAATTATGTAAACTTAATGTTAAGTTAGCATTATCAGGTATTTTTTAACTCAATCCTAACTGTGCGAATACTGGCCATTCACTATAAGAGTTACATGAACAGTATTGCCCATAAAATACATCTAAAACAAACTGAAAAGTAATAAAAACGATTGTGTGTATCTGCCCTGTGATTTGCATTTGGATTAAGTGGTTCTTTCTTGGCCAATGCTACAACCCTAACCCTAACCCTAACAGCTGGTTTCATGCAGGGTAGCTTTAATGTAATCCTGCAGACAAACTAATAAACCTAACCGAAAACAATCTCCTTTATGGTGGTAACAAAAAGCTGCTACTTCTAACCACTGACTTCTTAATATGTGACCAGTTGCTGCAGTTTCAGCCGTGTTTACGTACATGTTTAAAAACAGGAAGAAGTACAGCAGAGATATTTCAGATAATTATTCCAAGATGGCAAAAATAAATGGAAAAAGTGTACACTGTAAACAGAAAAATCAAGTCAATAGGACATTCATCTTGTTCTCCTTTTATCCAAATTCAAAATGACTTTAAATGTATAACGCTGCCACAGCAAATGTGGAATAAAAAACTGAATGTCTCTTTCTGCACCTCCCTTTCTCCTCTTTGCTCAATTTTTCCTTTTCCTTTGCCAACCATACACCTGCCTCACCTCCTGTGTCTCCCCCTCCTCCCTGTTAGGAATGTATGAGGCAGCATGTTTGGTTCTGGTCGAGCAGGGCTGGAAACCACATCAGCAGACCTCCTGTACTGTTTGGCTGAGCAGAGAACTGTATATGTTCTTGAGAGTTAATTTGCTGTATCGACTCGTAGTTCAAGGCAGCTTCTCTCCTGGACACTCTCCTGGACACTCGCCTGGAGCAGAGACATGTGCTTACCTAAACTTAAGTTTGATTTGATTTCCTTTTATTTTTACTCATAAGCTGTCCATGATTGCCTGTAGGTGTTTATGTAAAGAAGTAAAATTGTTATACACTCTGCAAACCTAAATCCAAGAATCCACATCAAAGAAAATGACTAAGCCATATTGAATAATATTATAACACAAAAACTTTGGAAACACCCACTACCGAAATCACTTTAATTTGGTGCTCAAAAAACGATACGTATAGCTAGGTGGCTGTATTCTTTGCAGAAAACTTTTGTTGTTTAAAACAAACAGTCAATACGGGTATTAGCAGTAGCAGTGATATCCACAATGACAGTTTACAAAGACCTGCCTAGTGATGCCTGCTTTCATATCTTTTACGGCACAAATGATGTTAAGTGAATGGTCAATGGAAGATTTAAAGGTCCCATGTCATGCTTTTCTGGTTATTACCCGTCCCCGTGTGTGTTATGTAGCTTTGTAGGTGCTAGTGGAGCCTCGCAGCGGCGAAACTGTGGCGCGCTTATACTGTAGGTGCACCACGTTTGGGGGTGCGGGGGGTGGTGCTAGTGGAGCCTCGCAGCACCCCCCCCCCCTTCCCGCGTCCATTCGCGATGTCTCGCTGTCTCGCAGACCCCACGCAGCAAACAGGAAATGAACCCAGCTCACACTGTCCGCTCCTCGCAGCAGCGAGCCGCACAACGTACCGCCAACACGGCACCCAGACCCCACGCAGCATTCTCATCTGTTTGTCATTACTGGTGTCATTTTCTGGTTGCTAATGCCATTGTAACACATAATCACTGATGTTCCGCTGTAACCGTGGTGGACTCATCAGAACAGAGTGGGCGAGCTGACCAATCAGAGCACACTGGGCTCACAGGGAGGGGGGGGGCGGGAGCTCCAACAAGCCGTTTAGGACAGAGTGAATACACATACTATACAGAGATGCTGTATGAGAAACCAATGTGAGTTTGGAAAATTGCACAATATAAATCTATTCTAGTATACTTCAACAATGGAATTATGATCAGTAGAAATGGCCATGACATGGGACCTTTAATAATTTTCTTTGCTTTTGTATTGCAGTGTGGAGCTAGTTAGATGTAGTATAATAAGTATGATCAGGAAAAATTCAGATCAGATTTTGTAACATAACACTAACACTGTTTGTCTGCTTAGCACATGCTCTGTTCATGTGTTTTCACATTTAACATTACATGAGAAATGGCTAGGCTGGTGTTGCTGCAGTGTAAATAAAACTGTTTTAATTGTTTAGCTATAATTGAATAATTGCTGTTTGGGTGCGAGCTTTATAGCATTAAGGTAAATAAAACAGAGCCACCACAGAAACTGAAATGTCATCAAAACTAAACCCAATGAAAGAGGCAGCTCCAAGTTTTTAAAATGGGAAGAATATAGTAAGATTTCACATATCAACAAAAATAAATACAGGAAATAGTCAATTATATGCAGATTTCTGTTAGTAATGAATATGTCAGCATCTTTTGAAGCTGCTACCCGACATGTGGGATTTATTCCTGCCCCTTCCCACCGTATCCTCCCATTTCTGTCAGCCTTTCACTTCTCGTACTGTACGTCTGAGAACCGTGTACCAGCCCCGGCCCTCTTCAAAGCCGGGGGCAGCTCCCCTTTCATGCCATGTTATGAGAAAGCTCAAATTTAAATGTTATGTTTTCACTCCTTCTCCTTAAAGCGGGATATTAAGTCAATCTGTGGTAGATTGCCAGGGCTATAGAACATTTTATGTTTTATGAAACGGGGCTGTGGTGTGCACGCACACACATTTAGAGATTTAAAGCTGACTGATCAAAGCCTCACATCCAAGAACAACAAACCCTGGTCTTTCTCAGGATCCACGCTGCCAGGTTTCAGAACAGATGAGAAGCATATGTAGGCGCTGGTGCCCTGTGCAGGTGCCTGCCTGCATGCCACAATGCCAGGGACTGTTCCTGTCGACATTTAAATGTATTTTTCACACTGGAAAATGCACCCTGGTATCATTAAGATGTGTTTTTTTGCACCAATTGACTAAGAAGATGGAATTTGTAGGTGCTCAAGAAAGAAATTACTGTACCTTTCATGATTCCTCTCTCAAGAATCCTTTTTAAACAACTTGTGGTTCTGATGCTCAAAGTGATGGTGGTGATATTGCAGTCCCCTTCACCTTGTTTTCCACAAAGCAAGTGTCCAGGAACAACAAAGGCAGTCACCAATGTACCTTTGAGGTGCCAGCAAACTCATTCGTGAAAGGTTTTCCAGTTTTCCAAAGAAAGAAGAACGCCCAAAAGTCCCGAAAAGTCTTACTTCCACATGTTTGAAAACTGGTGAACAACAAGCAAACACCTGAGGATTCTGCCACATTGAGTGTTATTCCGTATGGCCAAAAAAAAAAGACACCTCTGCAGCCTGATTTGTAGATTATTTCATATATTATTTTAAACCTATTAGTGCAGAAGGAAACTGCCCAAATCTCCTCTTAAGTTCTGAACATGTGTGTCTGCCTGCAGCTTTCTGGCATCATCCCTCTCCCATCCAGAGCCTGAGGAAACTAAACCTCCTCAGACAGAAACCATGTGAGAGAGAGAGGGAGGAAATGGAGCATGAGGGGAGGACGAGAAAGAAGAAGGGTGGTAAGAAAGGGAGAGAGAGAGAGATGGGAGGGGGAACAAAGAAACTGGAAAATGAGGGAGGGAAGGAGGGACTGGAAAGGGGACAGGGTGAAAAAAAGAAGGGAGGGGGGGGAGGGTCCATGTGTTTTTGAAAGTCAGTTTGTGGCTAAGGCTAATTGCTAACAAATGTTTTAACATTGTGGTGTGAGAGCAACTTCAGTGGCCTTGGCCTGTGGGACAGAAAAACAGTTTCTCTGAACACACACCTACACCTACACACACTCCTACAAACACACACATGTCAAAGCTATAATCCCTATCTGGCACCGGGTCGCAGTCTTCTCAGCTTGCTCACGCTAACCTCCACTATGCGTGTGTGAGACTCAACAGCAGGTGTAATAATCTCACCGACACACACATCCGGCCTTCCAGCTGACGAGGCGGCTCCAGTGGCTATCTGGCATCGCTGATTCTCACCTCTTTCATTTCCTCTCCTGCCTCTGCAAAAAAGAGAAGATGTGTGTATTATTCTAGTGGGTTGTTAGATTCATACTCATCCAAAAAATTTGAAAACCACCGTGTATTTTTGCACAGACATCAGCAGAGGTGGCTCTCAGGTCATAACTTGAGTAAAAGTAGCAATACCAGGGTAGAAATACATTTTCATTTATTGACTTAAAGTGGCCCTATTATGCTTTTAGGGTTTTTCTTTTCCTGTAGTGTGTTATAGAGGTTTGTTTGCTTGTAAATGGTCTGCAAAGGCTGAAATCCCACACACCCACAACAACTAATGGTCACACAATAAATAAAAGCTATTTAGATAAACACTTTCCAGCCCAAAAAGTCAAATTGTTCTGTATTACATCTTAGTGCATAACGCCTTTTTGCTGATTACTTCTACATCCCTGCATGCCTTTGAAGACCCTTTTTCCATCCCGTCTTTTTCTTGACAAGTTATTTTAGCTTTTGATGCTACAGTTTGAACAAATGAGGATCTTAAGAGGTAATTTAATGACCAACATCAGTCAGCAGGACTTTGATCTTGAAGCCACCGGAATGTGAAGTTTCCAAATCATGCACATTCCAACACACTCATACCCATGAATCTACCCAGAAACACCATTTCCCCGAAATTGATACCAGAATCGTCCAAATGTTTGAAGTTCATCTGTTAGCCACGGGTCGTTCACTACCACCAAGTAAGCCTGCTGATAATTATGTTTTGTGTTGGAAGCCAGCGGAGCAGCTCGTTCAGAGCCCTCTGCGTGTGTATGAAGATGTTGGAATCCATGCCACTGATCCAGTATTGGCTGCAGAGCTACATGGCTTTAATTCGGTGGCCAATTTAACAGTGGAGCGCACGCACGCACGCACGCACGCACGCACGCACGCATGCACGCACACACACACACGCACACACACACACACACACACACACACACACACACACACACACACACACACACACACACAAAGTGGAGCAAAACAGAAGAATTCAAAGGGTCATGTAACAGATAATTAGTTTAGTCACACAGGATCTACAGCTGGTAAACTTTTTACACTGAACGACACAAAGTAAACAAACCTCCAGGCCAGTAAGTTTTAACTCCACATGTGCACCGTTGGCCTGTGTGATGGAAACATCTAACTTACATAAGCTGGTAACAAATGTAACAAAGGTTGTTTTTGTCAAAATGTGTAAAATGTTCTCATATAAGTTGTACAGATGTTAACTAACTAGTTACGACTTGGAGAGTGGGTTTTTAAGCACATTTTTGAGCTTTTAGAGCTATGTGAAGTTTTAATAATTGAACATCAGTTATGTCAGAACATTACAAGATTGAAGATAAAAAAAAGATGGAGATGTGGAATCAAAAGAAATAAGTTTAACATACCTATATCCCGCTCCTCATCTCTGCCTGAGGCTAGTTGCTTACTAGCATCACAACTTAATCTCCAACTGAACATATAAAGTCAAGATGCATTGTGGGACATGTAGGTAACATTTTTTGATAAAAAAGTTTGGTAGGAATAAACATTTTGGTTCTCATGCATAATTATATATTTTTAAATACTAACATCATGAGCCAGCCAATGTTGGAGTAAACTGCCAAAATCGATCGAGTATTCCAACTATTTTACTGCCGGTAAAATAGGAAGTAAAAGAAAGAGTAGAGACAGCTGATGTTGTCGTATTTTTGTAATGGTCAACAAGACGTATCCCTTTATTTGCAGTTGACTTTTAAAGTCTTGTGTCTTGTGAGATCTAAAAAACATGATTGTTATGCTTCAGTTTCTTCAAATTGACCCCACATTCCCCAAACCCCCGTTGCTTCTTTATGCAAAGTGGATGCTGTTTGGGACATTTGTGGAAACATTTCAAAAAGTCAAGACAATGCAAGTAAAGGGCAAACATTTGAGAAATATGACATATCACCTCACACCACAAAAGTTTGATTTAAAAAGACATCTCAGAAGAACTTGCATGCACCTTACGCACACGTAGATAAATGTGTTTTATTCAATGACCTTTAATGCCATTAAAAGTGCAGGGAACTTAATGAGTCACACACTCAACAAAATCTCTACTAGCACCAGGACAAATTGGAAATCCCATTTGTTCCACATTTGCGTTAAAACAAATGCCAAAACCAAATTTGTTTTGGTCTGTTGTCCGGATGACAATCATTGTCCTAATTTGTTGGGCAAAACAAAACTGCATGTGTTATCCAGAATTGTTTATCAGAAACATCCTGTAGCGCCAATGCCTCAAAAATAAGTGAAAAATCTAAATAAAGCACATTTTACATCTCCCTATGCATGTATAGGATGAGGAGCATCTGTGCGTGTGCAAGGGAGTAAAGGGTAAACTCTGCAAGATGCTCCAAGAATCCCATCTTCTGCACTGCATGTCTGACAACAATTTGATCTTTTGCAACAACACATCCATCTTTGTTCGATGAAGCTCCATCCGGAGTAGATGGTGAAACAAATTAGTCACCAAAAAAGAAATACAGCAAGTGAGGGAAAACAGTGTGGGAAAACAGTGTGGGAAAACAGTGTGGGAAAACAGTGTGGGAAAACAGGAACAAAGTGATATGCAGGAACACTTTTACAGTTGACATCTGGTTTGTCCCACTCCCCCCAAACGTGATCACTATGATTTAAACACTGTCTGTCAGTTTTGCATGCATGGTTTTCAATGGATATAAACTTTGTTTCATAGATTCAATCAACTAAAGCTGCAGTTACGCCTGGCTGCTGTTTAATGGAGGGTGCTGTGTCCCGAATGGCTGGAATTCACACATGGGGGCCATATTGGACCGAGTGTAGAGGACATTTTTTCACTTTGTCCCACTCACATTTAACTAGAAGTCCAATATTCTCTCTATACTCTGTCTTTTCACACTGATGTTTTGCTCACTCCTGTTGATTTATTTTAGATCCAGTGGGATGCTTCTTAAAAGGCTCAAAGTGACTCCCTAAATGTGTGTTAAAAAAACGAAAAAGGGATAAGATATTGAATATTATTTTTACATTTAAACTTAATCTCAGAAATGTGTTATAAATACTGTGTATAAAAGGAAAGATATAACACTCCACAAACAACTGAAAATACACAGTCAAGTACTGTAGGTACTCAGTGTTGAGAATGTACTGTATAAGAATGGAGCTCCTGCCACCTAGTGTTACAATCAGCTATTGCACTTAGTTGTTTTTCTGTGACAATTTTGAGTCTGACAGTTTCCAAAATAAACTCTTTATTAGTTAAAGTACCAGAAGATTCCTGAGCCTTTGTCACAGGGTCATGTTTAAACTTATCAAATATCACAAGATGTATTATAATACACTGTAAACATCTGTGTGTGTGTGTGTGTGTGTGTGTGTGTGTGTGTGTGTGTGTATGTGTGTGTGTGTGTGTGTGTGTGTGTGTGTGTGTGTGTGTGTGTGTGTGTGTGTGTGTGTGTGTGTGTGTGTGTGTGTGTGTGTGTGTGTGTGTGTGTGTGTGTGTGATCAATAACGACTGGTTTCAGAGTCATTTTTGCAGTTTTAAGGTGAGATTGCATTACTAACACACTGCCTCTAGGATTGTCTTTATTTTGTTGCATTGTTTTAGTACCGGTAACTCCCACATCCTTCTGTACAGTGTAGGCCTACTGCAGTTTCACTAAAGAAACAAACATGTTCACGACTAAGCACTGAGAAAGCAGTTAAAGCTCAGTTGCCATCCATAACAATAATGATGGCTGCATTGCATATGTTTCCTGTTTCCATTTCCTTTACATTTTAAGATGGCAAGTATGCATATGCACATTTATTGAATACACATTTTAAGGCTTTGCTAAAGACTTGCTGCCAACATGGAAACCGTTTTATGAATTGTGCATGCAACTTTAGTTTTAGGTCACATGTTTGTCTGTGAAAAGGTGAAAGGGGGGCTGGTAAATGTTGAGTCACAGTCAGGATGAATCAACTGTTTGTCTCTGAGCGCTGCTGCCAGTAAATTACAAATATTCTAGTCAAGTCCTCAGGCTCAGGCCAGGTAAAGTTATACACAATAACAAGAATTAAACGCATTCAGATTTCAAAATAAAATCACAATGTTGTTTACAAATGGTAGAGGAAACAAGGTAATTATTCAGTGGTACACATAAATAGCCATTAATCATAGTGACATTTCTAATAACAGATAGCTATAATATGCATCATTGATGAAAGTCAAGATAAATATCTTCTCACTACATAAAACATATTCAGGAATTATGCAGTGGTGTTTCCAGGTGGTAAATGGCAGGTAAACAACCTACTTGAACGAATGTGAAACCAGAAATACACAATGTGACATAACAGTAGTACGTTTTAACATTAACCACACAGGTGATAATCCGGTTGAATACATACCTGTTCTCATCAATTTGCTTAGCCGTCAATTTGGTCCATTTGCCTATGTTTGCCAAACTTC